GTTGTCTAAGTTGAAATTAGTTCTTTTGGAGGCATTTGATTCATTTTTGCTGGTATGCAATTTGATTCTGTATTTTTTTGTTAAAGGTTTTAGTTCTTTGAATATTTTTCTAAGTTCATTTATGAATGAAGTTATCTCATCAGATTACAATTCACAGAATTTGTTTTTTTAATGTGCCACATTTTTGGCTGGTGATTTTTTTTGGGCAGCATTTTTTGTAATTTCAGCATATGATGATGTGAAGAAGAAAATTTTCATTATTTCTCTTGCTTCTGGAAAAGGCAGGTTTTTGGCATATTTTATTTTGATTTCTTTTGTCTTTTTCCAGATCTTAAACTCCTTTGAATCAACAATATGTTCTTGCTTGCAGTTTGGACACTTTGGGATGTTTTGGCAGGTTAATCTAGAATGAATCATTCGAGCCTCTCCACATCTTCCACACACTGGGGTTTTGGTACATCTATTTTTGTGGCAGCCAAATCTTTAGCAGTTGGCATTTGAACCATCTGGTATTTCAGGGATGTGGGTTTCTACCTTAACAATAGAATTTCTAATTTTTATGGAGGTTTAGGAGTATTAAATGTAAGTATATATGTATCAGTGTCAATATTTTGTTCATTTTTTTTTTGTTTTTAACTGTTATTCTTTTGATGTCTATAACTGTTTCCTCAGGTTTGTCTTAATTTCCTCTAGGAGCATGCATCAGGATCAGGGTTTCTGATTATTCCTTTGGATGACTTTAAAGATTGGTGTGGGTAGGTTTTGATTTTTAATTCATCAAACGTTGTCCATTTTGACAATTTTTCAGCATATGCCTTTTTTGTTACTGTTATGGGATCTTACCCATAATAATAATAATGGACTATTCCATACTTAATAAATACTGCACCTCAGGAGTAGGCAAGAAGTCAGTCAGTAGTTCAACTCTGAACCGACTGCACGGTTAAACTCTCTTCCTACGGGCGGGAGGAACCCGAAGGAGGCTACGTCGAAGGGCGGAGTCTCCTTCGGGGAGGTAAAACCGGCCCAGAACCTGTTTATACGGGATCAAATGGGCTATTTTTTGGCCGAGCCTAATGGCTTGGGAATGCTCACGTTAAAAAGGCCTTGTGCCACATGACACCCTCGTGGGGGGGGGGTGACTGAATATCGTCAGTCAGTAGTTCAAGTAGAGTCAGTAGTTCAAGTCAAGTCAAGTCAGAGGCAGTCTGAAACAGAGTCGCGTTCAGACAATTACTGCAAGACATTGGAATAGTGATACTGGTCGAAACTACATTGTTCTCTCTACTAAACCTGATTGTTCATACTAACACTTCTACTTCTCTGTATATATTCCTGTTTGTAATATATCTGTGTTATTCCAGACCTGTGTTCGAGTTCTTCTTTATTGGTTCTACCTTGGACTATTACCGTGGTACAAGAAACCGGACCATAACAGTTACTTGTACTAATATTGTGCCATTTACTAATTTTTTTTACCAGATGTAGGAGTTATATTGAAGGATATATGTTCTCAATTAGAAATGATGACAATTTAATAATGGAAATTTTTTCTATCTTTTTTTTTTAAGTTCATCAACAAGCAAGGCAGTAAAGCCACAAAGACACAAGAGGGTTACTGAGTGTAGAAGTAGAAAACAGAAACATTACTAAAGAGCAAGAACAAAAGAAGAGCAATCAGGAGGACAGTATTAATTCCTGCAGATTAAAGTTGGCTAGAAAGCATGAAACCGGAAAGGAATTCCATAAGTGAGAAGTGCAAGAGAAGAAACTGTTAGCATAGAACTTACAGTTACATCTTGCAATCTCAAAATTCAAGTACAATAAACTTATAAAATGTTGCATTAAGTTCTGTTTCAACTGCCTGAGCTTGATTCTAGATGGTGTCTTTAAATTTTTGATACCATGGAAGTTTTATTTAATTTTTATTTTCACTATTCCTGCTCCCCACCCATCCTGAAGACATCCCAAACATACAGGAATGGTATATGTATTTTAATGAGTTATTTGTAACGAGCATGCGCAGAAACGTCCTCGAACTGCGTGTGTGTGTTGTCGCTGGGCACACCTTGGAGTACCATAATGGACTCGACCAAGGACTATAAGAAGAATTCTTTGAGTCATTTGGCGTTTTTTCTAAATGACAAAAGCCATTGCGGTCAGTCGTCCGTCGGCAGCAGTCTTGGGTGCCGTTTTGCTTGTTTGCTGTCGTAAAGTGTTGTGTCGCAAGTAGGTATTCGTTTTTGTGTCGCATTCATTTCAGGTTCGCAAGAAGGTGTTCGTTTTTGTGTTGCAAGTAGGCGTTCGTTTTTGTGTAGTATTCGTTTCTGGTTCACAAGAAGGCGTTTGTTTTTGTGTCTCAAGAAGGCGTTCGTTTTTTGTGTCCCAAGAAGTTGTTTTTTTTTCTCACACATTATTGCAAACAACTATTAGGTCTTCTACTTCTCCACCCCTATTAGGTGAAACATCAGTGTTTCATGGTGATGTTGGAATTTTACTGATTGACACTTACCACCACATTCTAATACTTGTGTTTTTACTTATATGTTTGTATACTTGTTAGTTTATGTGATAGAGTGTATATATTTAGGATTGGAAGTGTTTTTGGTGTATATAAGTATTAGGGTTTGATGTGACTAGTAAATCTTTTTTTTTTCTAATCAATCTACCCCAAGTAAGGGGGTAATCCCATCAAGATGCAAATGGCTACTGAGAGTGAAAAAGAATAGAAAGAACCAGAAACCCAACCCTAAACAGAGAACAAAGGATAAACCTCTACTCTTGTTCAAGAGAGGAGAGCTAAGTGGAGGATAGATCAGATTGACCGCCTCTGCTTGTCTAGCCCAAATAAGGCCCAGTGTGGAGTTGATGACCTCTTATTACCCAGAATCATCAACTGCTCAGCTACCAGTATCCCATCCTTAGGCATCACAGGTCACTATTCATGGCAAACAAGTGGCCACATTTGGGGATACCTAAGATATATTATCCTGCTCCAACCAGCTGGGCAGACACCATGTTGTGTTAGCGGTAGATAGATATACATTAGATTCTTTAAGAATGGATTTAATAAAGGTTGGTGACTTAATATAGTGTTTTTTAATGTGTGCTTATAGTTTGGTAAATCATTATTCAGAATTCTCTCAAAGTATTTTCCTCATAAAGATTGTGTAAGAGAATCCTTGAATTAACCACTATACTGGAAACAGGGTTCAAGTTTTCACTTCTTGCCATGCCATTTATTTTCATCACTAATTTCCTTGTGAGTATGTAAGAAGCCTTTGACCAAGGAAAATGGGACTTTTTTTTTTCTTTTTTTTTTACACATCTAAATATTAAATTGATGAAAAAACTTACATTTTTTTCCTATTATTTTTTGTTTGTGTCAATTCAACACTTAATTTATTCGATTATAAAGCATTTTCCCAGGATTTCAATGAACCTGTTTTACCAGTTCGCTAAGTTGTGTTTTTCATCATAAAAAGATGGATTCTGATTTGGACTTAAAGATAGCAACTCAGAATGAGAAATCAGAGATTTGAGTTCAAATTCCAGTCAGGTTCGTTACATTCACTTACATAAAAATACCCTTGGAAATGGTATGGCTACAGTTAAACAGTAGGACTTGTATCAAAAAAAAAAACATTGTTATTCTCAAATAATTGTTAATACAATATTCACTAGAAAAAAAATGTTCTTACAATCCAAAATATATTTTGGTTTTAATAAGCCACAAACAATTGATAAACCCAAATCAAATCATTTATTTAACATTAACTCTCTAGCTCAAGTGGCTCTTAGGCCTTGTACTGGGTAAATTGTAGTATAAACAAAAAAATTCATAATCATAATGGCAGAAGTGACAATGAAATGAATCAAACAAACGCTATCATAATAATTATCAATGTGTAATTATTTATATATTTCCTGTCCCATCTGTAATGGGAAGGGAAGTAAATCAACTTAAGTTAGTAAATTTAAGTGTGATTACTTCCCTTAGTCATTTTAATAATCTATATGTAGTGAAAGAGATAATCATTTAAATTTAAAAAAAAAAAGTTTGTGTTTGAAAATGCGATCTGCTGAAGAAAAAATTACCAAAAAAAGTTAGCAAAAATCTACTTCAATGACTAGAATCTATACTAATGTTCTCCCCTCCCATGAATGGTGTGACCAATCAGAAAGATCTCTCGATGAATCAAAGCCGTTGTTTTTCGCTTATAAAGGCAGAAGATTTTCTGAGCTGGTGGGCGGAACACGCGTTTTTTGCTCGTGAGACGTGAAGGTTGGACGTGTGACCCAATTTTGTCGTTTCTACTTTGTTAGACTATTATGACAGGCTATCATTTGTACTGTGATTTGGCTACAAGTGTTGCAGTTGAGAAACAGAAGAAATCTATTGCAGTTGCTATTATAAGTTGACAGTCTTTTCTTTTTTCTTTACTACAACACTATACAATTAAAATATTTATCTGCATTTAGACAAAATTATTTCCCAAGCAAAATGAACCATTTAACGAACCAGATCTTTTGCTCCTTTTTGCAGTTTTATTTGTTCACGACTTTCATGTGAAACACTCAGCTACCTTAGTCTATTAAATGATTGTCTTACTTCAACTCGGTCTTGAAATAGACTTTGTCATTGCCATCTTTGTCCATCTGACAGTAATCTTTTTCTTCCAAGAGATATTTTCATTTCACTGTTATATTAAACATAAAATCTTTAACAAGATAAAAGATATAGAGCAAAAAGCAATTTATATAATACATATATATAATATTGAATGTCAAAAAAATATAAATGGAATGGATTAAACAGTTTATTGGTCTCTATTTTAGTTGTGAATTCTTTATCTCTGCTTTAATGAACCTCAATACAATTGTTTCAAGGCTTTTGCTTCATTGCATCTCACTATTAACACTTTCTAACAACTGCCACCATCTTTGACAACACAGGTAAACTAATAAAAGATCAAATAAAAATAAAAGGAGTAACTTACATCAATAAAAGCCACAAACAACCAACACAAATATCGTTTCCATATTACATGCAAAATGGCTCGAAGTAAACTAGGTTTACCAGAAGTCTTTAATTTGCCGATTTCTTTTTCCCATTCTCTGAAAAATAAAGGAGAAATAATAATAGTCTAGTGAATTAAAGTGTTAGTTTGTGAATTTAGTGACAAAATCAATTCAAGTTCAAGTTGGGTAGTCTAAATTTACCTCAGTGAAAAGAGAGTGAACAATAACCAAGCAGTACTACATGAGAACAAGATAATATATTCTTAGACATGATAGTTATTACCTGCTTACATCCAAGCATTGGGGTCATCATCCTCTCTCCTTGTTCTCTTTTTCCCCTCTGGTGGTGGTGGTGGCAGAGATGGCTTTGAAGGCCCAACCTATGCCTGAAGAGTTGTGAACAGTAGTCACAGAGAAGTGTGGATGGTGGACACAGCTGGTTTAGTCGGACCCTCCTGACAGTATGTCATAGATCCTCTTAATGTTGATGGTTGGACACAAAAGTCTTGATCCACTTTTGGATGCTTCTATGCCAGGAAGGATGTTTTACAGCAACGATTTCTCAGGTCTCATGGTTGATGTTGGCCTGTGTCAAGGATGTTTTCAACTGATCATTGAAGTGTCATTTTAGGCCTCTATGCAGCCTCTTGGGAGTCCTCCAAACAGACATGGACAGTGGAACGAAAAGAATCAACCACCATAGATTAGATAAAGTGTTCAGTTTAACATTTCCTGGAGGTTAGCTGTATCAATAAAAATCTGAAGAAGGCCAGAGTACTCAACAGTCGAAATGTTGTGATCACAAAAAAGAGGAGGACATTAGTCTGAATGTACATACATAAAAGATAAATATTTTTGCTTCATTTCTTTATTCGTACTTGTATATGCAGGTGGTGTAATAAGTAACAGTTCGGCTTTCTGTATTCTAATTACAGTTGGGTTAGTTATATTCACTTAGGCACAAATACCCTTGAGAAAAGTATGATTCCACTTCTCTCTACCCAGCTATGGGTTAATTAGTAGGATTTGTATCAGTAAATCATTATTTCCAATAAAATTCTTACAATCTAAAGTATTTTCTGGCTTTAAATAACTTAAAAAAGGTTGATAAGCCATAAAAAACAAATCAATCACTCTAAGTATAGAAAATAATGTATATACAGTGTATAATGAACAAATTGTTGCCATTTTATATTTTCAGTTTTACACATGCATGTTGTTTATTTTTGATTTTGTTGACTGCATAGTATAGTAGGGTCAATTGGGTACCATCTGTAAGAAAAAGAGCACATGATGCAATTAACTCTGCCAGAAAATTGGAAACTGTACTGCTTGGCATTTGTGCCCGAAGCCCCAATGCAAACATTTCAGAGTGTTTGGGTGTCAATCTGAGGACAGTGTAGAGACTTCAGAAAGAGTTGGATGAGTCTAATGATGATTATGAAGGTACGGCAGCTCAGAAAAATCATTCTGATAAGAAAAGAACTGGTGAGGGCCTCAGACTCAACATGGAGGCCTATACCAAGTGTCTTGAGGAGATAGTACTGCCCTGGGTGGCTGCTGAAAGACCCTATGTCTGGCAACAGGACTCTGCACCATACCACACAAGCAGGAGAACCCAGTCATGGCTGTCAGACAATTTCTGCAACCACATCACCCTTACATCTGGCCACCTAACTCCCCAGACTGCAACCCCCTTGATTATTATATGTGAGGCGCAGTTGAACAAGAGACCAACAAAACTCCTTGTAACACCAAAGATGAACTGAAGGCAATGATTATGGCAGCATTCACCAACTTAAACAAGGAGACCATCCAGAAGAGTTGCAGGAGATTCTGAAGTTGTCTGGAGGCTGTGGTTGAAGCCAATGACAATTTTATTGAATAAATTTACTCTTTAGTATTTCAAGATATTTTTGTGTAATTTTGGTAAATATATCTGTTAAAATGAGATGTCAGTGTTATTTTCTTTTTTTCTTTTTTTTTTAGATGACAATTTATCCAGACGACAATTTATATATGTAAATGCTATATATATAATTTGCAAAAAATGAAATAAAAGAACATTATTTAAATAGAAAAATAGTATAACACTAGGAGTTGGTACTGGATAATGATAAATTAAAATCCAACATTAACTTTAAGTGAATGCTTTATAAGCATACAAACCACCTCTTAATAAAATAAGTGTTGAAATAAAGAAACTCTGATCTGATTCATCTACAATATTAGGGTCCCAACTAGAGCAAATTTTGGAACCAAGATATGGTAAATGGCCATTTAATTACAAAAAATAAATGAAAATATATTTAAATATACATATATAATAATATTTATTTGCCATATAAATTTTATGTCAATTTTAAATATTTAGCAGCAATGTTTTGTTCTCTTTGAAATTAATGATATTTTCCCCAACCCTTAGTTATTCTGGAAATATATATATATATATAAATATTATATATTATATATATTAGTTCAGTTGATGTGGACAAAATAAGCAATCTGGGCATGTTGATTTTTTGCGAGAGGATGACAATTTGATTTTTAAACTGAATCAAAGCCTTGAATGTTGATTGATTTAATTTTGAAATATTTACCTGGATCACTGAGAATTAAATTTACATTTTTTATGTTCATTGAAAAATATATATATATATATATATATATATATATATTTATATATTCATATGTTGTATTAGCAGTGTGAGGAATAGAACAAGACCCAGAGTTTTTAACTGATTTATTTAAAAGTAGTTTTTTCTCAAGAATTATTTCCTGATTTTTAACCTTTTAAGAGTTGTGGTTTTGAAGAAAAAATTAAAATAATGTTTAATCTTAGATTTGAAAATTAAGATTTTCATTATTCAGTAATAACCATTTATTAAATTCTTTTGAGGATTTTTGTCTGGGTTTATTTAGACCGAAAAAATAAAATTTAAATGGAGTTAGAGATTCTTTAGTTAATAGTCATCATCTCTTTTTGACAGATAATTATCACTTCTACAAATAGAGAGTTTGGACATAATACTAAATTGCTTTTAAACTGTCAAGGAAAATCTCAAAATATAAAAAAGAAATTTAAAAAAAATATCTTGAAGAAAAAAAATATCATACAAACCCCGGCATCCCCAAAAAAATTTAAAAATATTACAAAATTTTAAAAATTAAATATATATTGTCAAATTTAAGTTCATGATAATTGTTTATCTTTATCAAAATGATCAATGTTTTTTGATGAGAAATCTGGCCTTTTTAGGTGAAAAAAAAAAAAAAAAAAATAAATATTTTTATGAAGGCCAAAAACAATGGCCGAAATATTGAAATTGACAATAAAATTTAGAATTATTTTGAATGTTTGTTTTATTGTAAATATTACAAATGTTTCAGAAAAATAGACTTGATTGAATAATATATTATAAAATGTTTTATATTAAAAGAGTTTTGAAACTGAAAACTCTTTGTTTTTAATTTTTTTTGCCATTTGGGGATTTTGTGTTATTCATCACATATCTGCAGAAATAGGTTCCTTGTTTTTCATTGCCGAAATAACAGATTAAAAAATTGGTTCAATAAATTTTAATCTACATTATTTTATTTTTTCATTAATGTCCTCAAGTATTTTTAATTGAACTAAATGCACATTTCATCTGTCATGGATCCCAGGAATTCAAAGAAACCTAAGGAATTGTGGAAATGATATGGAATTTAACTAGTTTAGAGAAATTTGGGTGTGTTCAGCTATCCATAAAAATATCTCATTTTGTTCTTAAAAAACTCTACTTGCCCTGATTATTGAGTATAAACTACCCATCATTCAGATTGAATTCACTTGGTAAGATGAAATAAACAATTTAAATCTCAAGGCTATTGTATCATGGGACAATCCTTTTTTGTAGAATACGTGGAACCTTGAACTTAATGATCATATTGCCTGCCCATGTTCATGATGCTGACCTGGGTTCTAGGAACAGGATTATCGTTGTGGGACAATAGCCTAGTTGGACAAATGAATTTGGTCCCCAAACTGGAGTTCAAAATTCCTATAAAGGGTTTATAAAATTAAGTTCAATACTAATATAAAAGGGTTTTTCAAAAAAAAAATTTAAAAGTTTATCAATAATTTCCTGAAGGAACAATATTTTGAAGCATTTTTGAAGAAAAAAATTTCAAAGTAAATTAGATTAAAAATGAAAAAAAATATTCTCAGAAAAATTAATTAAAATAAGATAAAAATTATAACTCTTATTTAAAAAATAAAACCAGAAATGTTTGGTTTTGATTAAAAAATTTCAATCAGACATTTGGGTTTTTTTTTGGAAAAATGGATTATAAACAAAAATTTTTTTTATTATTAAACATTGATTAGAATCACTTGTAATATTATCAAACCAAACCAGTTCTATAAAAGTTTATTTAAGATTTTTTTAAAAATTATTTTTTAAATAAGTTTTCAAAAATTTTTAAAAATAAAAAACTTTGATTATAATAATCAAGGCTCAAGTATTTCTTAATTTACATTGTTTTAGCAATCAAAGAGATTAACATAACAATGAATTGTTAACTGATTTGTTAAAACCCATCCAAATGATGTTACATACAAAAGAGGAAATTTTATTCTATTCCCTTAATGTCAAAAAGTTGAGAAAACCTCAAATTATCTAAAAAAACCAGTCATCAGTTTCTTTCATAATTTCCAAATTTGGGAAATTAATTCTTTTTTTTTTAATTATTATGAGAAAAAATTAAAAAACAATGGTTGGCAGAACAGATTATTACAAGATATAAAACACACATTATATAACAGCTAGAAAGAATAGGAGGAGGATTTGAAAAAATCCATCAAAGAAAAGAGAAGTGGCAGGTATTTTTTAAAAATTTTTTTTTCATTTTAAGTTTGCATCCAAAACTGATACAACATAATCACAAAAAACAAAAACAAAACAAAACAAACTTAGATTCAGAATCAGAGTGATGAACCTTCTAGTAAATTAGACAGAATTTTTTTATCAATAGAAGACTTCAATACTAACATATTCATGATGGAACTCATTAAAGTTTCTTTTACCATATTAAACTAAACAATAAATATTAAGTGTCATTGTCTGTGGACAAACAAAATAAATACTCACAAAAAAAAAAAAAAAAAAAAAAAACTGAATATCATTTTTGACTGAGGTTAATCGATGCAGACCCCACCACCACTATTTTTGGATTCTGTTGAGGTTTCTTCAGAGACTCAATGAGTTACTTAATTTGTTATATATATTATGATATATATATTAATACATAAATATAATAGATATATATTTCTATTTCACAAAATGGTATAGAAATATAGTAGACCACAGATAAGATAATATCAAAAAAAATATTGTACAAATAATATAGGAAAAAAAAAAAAAAAAAATTTTGAAAAAAACTATTAAAAAAAAAAAAGTTCAATCAAAAATTGATAATATTTTTTTGCATCTTAAAAGGTTTGTTTTTTTTATGACTAAAACAAGAATTTCAAGCTAGCATTTTAGAAAACCAGCCAAATAAAAAAAAGGAAGACTAGATAAAATTGAGGATATCCCAGTTGAATTTTCTTTTTTTTCTCTCCATTTTGATTATGAGGCTAGGGAATAGTTAGGGTTAAAGCCATTCATTCTTTTTATTGCTGATACATTCATTGTAGATACATTGGACAATTTATTTTTAAAAAGTTTTTGTCCTTTGCAGTTGTTTTTACTAGCATTTTCTTTTAAGTTTTTACTATGTTTTCCAGTATTAAATAACCTTTGCCCTCCATTTACACAAGTTTGTTAAGTAGGTTACTTGCTGTTTCCCTCTACCCCTCAATATATCCCATGAATATCAAATTCTTCAAGCCTTCTTTTCTCATTATGTATCTGGAAATTTCATCTGTTTCTTTCTGATTTCATTGTGGATAGTTTATTATAAGAAAGAAATGAAAGAAAAAGAAAAGAAAAAATTAGAAAAGAAAAAAGAAAAGCAAAGAAAAAAAAAGCAAAGAAAAAGAAAGAGAAAGCAAAGAAAGAAAGCAAAGAGAAAGAAAGAAAGGAAAGCAAAAAAGAAAGCAAAGCAAAAAAGAAAGGAAAGCAAAAAAGAAAAAGAAGAAAGTAAAAAAAAGAAGAAAAAGGAAGAAGCATTTTTCATTTACAGATGCTTCAATTTTGACTAAATCATTTATTTTTATTTTTTTTATACAACCTGAATACCATAGCCTAATAGTGATAGAAATGGGTGATATGTAATAAGTTGAAAGCCTTTAAAATAAATTTTGTGTGAACAAATTTTGGGAAGAGATCTATGAACTTCCAGCACTCCTTCAAAACTCTATTGCTATACAAATTAGAAAAGTGTAGATCTCAAACCCTTTGTCTTCTAAAATCTAGACAGGTAAAGGTTTCCTGAAATGGAACCTTAATACTTCAGTTGCCATAGCAATATCAGATTTTTTTTAATTTGCTCTCCATTTCAAAGGATGACAATGTTTCCTTTCTGTTATGATGTTGATTTGGGGTTAGAGACAAACGCCAAATAACATGTAACAATAAAAAGGGTTTTAATAGGTTGGTAAAAAGGTACAGAAATCGCCTGAGTAGTCAATAACTAGCTCAGCTAAGAACTTCTCTGTCTGTCTTTTTTACATGTCAACTGACATGCCACTATTTAAAGTCTTTGTTCACAGACGCAGACAAGTTCATCTTCAAGAGGGTGGTAGGTTTCCGACACAACACTTTCAAAGAAAGCCATGTGCATGTGCCTAAGGGAATTTTATTTTATTTTTACTGATTAAGGGATTATAAAGACCCAAATCTGCATTCGCAACAGCTCTCTCTCACTCTCTCTCTTACTGGATCATGCAACATGATGGTATCTAAGAAAACAGTTATAGGATAAGACAAAGATTCAATGCAAAGAATGCCCCCTTTGCATGCTTCAAGACATGTGTATGCCCAGCAAGTTTAAATTCAGAATTTTCCTTTTAGAATGACAGTCAACCAAATCTAGACAGCCTAGTTTGCCCTGATAGCTGGGGGAAAAGGATTTATGCCTCCCCCAAAGGTCTCAACCAGAATCTGAACAATTCTGAAGTTGGATTTTACAAGCAAGCAGTAGCTATTGTGTTACTTTTAAGTTGAAAAAATAGCAAATTTTTCTTTTCTTCACTTAGCAGAAATAAATAAGGAAAAGGTACACAATTTATGGTAAGGTTTGTGAATGGCCATCTTTAAGGTTTATTCCCAAACATGGAGATGGCCAAAAAGCAGAAATGAACCATGTTTAGGCCAAAAAGGGATTCAGGTGAGCCAAATCATCCTACCAAATAAAGAAATTCCAGAATTAAAACCTTAACCAGAAAAATACAACGGTGTTAGAGACTCGTCAAAAAATCCTCATTTGGAGTTTCTTTCTAGTCACCCATTTCTGTTGCTTCAACTCGCTAAAAAAAATTTTACTAACTTTTACCACATTTCTCATCTTTTTATCTTTATTTTACTCAATACAAGGTCTAAGAGCCACTCTAGGTAGAGAGTTACTGTGAGATTGTTGTAAGTATGTGAGGAAGTAAGAAGTGCTTATTATGAGGATATATATGATAAATAACATTTGAACCTAGATGTGAAGAGATCAAGTGGTCAGGTGAGCATTCTCTTGGGAGTCTGTCCCAGAAAGTAACTTCTGAAGAAGCTGTCCTAGTGGAACATACCAAAGGAATATGAAGGGAATGGGGATTGGTGTATGTGGATTTGGTGTGTAATTAATGGTAGTCTATATTTAATGTTATTTTATATATGTAAAAAAAACCCCAAAAAAACAGGGTATAGAAGAGTAAGGATAATAAAAATCAATTACCTTAAAAAAGTGAAAAGTGAATAAGGCATAAAGCACACATTCGGATACCACTTGAAACTATAAGCCTTCTCTCTGTAAGCCAAAGCAATGGCTGCTGGGGCTTAATATAATCGGAGTGTGGTTATATTTTTTTCTCTCTGCTGATTCCCTGGTAGTTTTTAATTTATTGCTTTTCTTTTCTATTTAATTTTGTATACACAATTTATATTTTTGTCCTTGATTGACTCTGAAGAACAAGTATCAAAAAACAGGTTGTTTTAAGT